GCCGTAACATTGAATCAGCTGTGTTCCATGAATGCTGCAAGTTGTTTGGCATACGAAAGACTAGAACAACGCCACTTCACCCATAGTCTGATGGGATGGTAGAAAAGTACAACTGTCCAATGGGACAGCAATTGGCAAAGTTTTGTAATAGCCGCCAAGATGACTGGGATGTCTTACTCCCTCCACTGTTGATGGCATATAGAACAGCATGCATGATATCCACCATCAAGTGCGTTCAAACTTGAAAACGTCTCCTGAGTCGATGAAGTTAACTTATGATAAGAGATGTACTGAAGTCAACTTTGGTCCAGGAGACAAGGTATGGTTGTATAATCCCAGGAAGACCAAAGGGAAGTCTCCTAAGTTGTCTTCTCCATGGGAAGGCCCATATGACATTGTGGATCGTCTCTCAGACGTGACTTTCCGAATAAAATGTGGTCGGCGAGGTAAGCCAAAGATGGTGCATGCCAATAGGCTTTGGCGTTTTCACCGTCCAGGACATTTCAGTTGGGTCGAAGTGAACAACAGAACAAAAGACGCCGCTGAAGCCGTGTCACCCGAAAAAGCCACTGTCGAAGAAGAAACTCTACTCGGTAGTGACCGGAAGTAAAGTGCGTGAATCGTTGTGAATTATAGCGTGTGTTTAAGTTAAAGTGACTGTGGAAATTAAGTGTATTACAAAGTTGTATTGAGAAAGAATAAACTAGTTTTATTTAGGAAAGGACTTGTATCGCTGAAGTTTCTGGGAAAGAATTTCTACGGAAAATTAACAAACGAACAGAGACGTAACAATATTCTTTGATGTGAATGTAGTTCGTGTGGACAGACGTAAAACACCTATTAATATTTCCTTGAATACTATACCTTTAGTTGTTATTCGTTAACAGCAATCTGTTTTCAGCATCATTTCTGTGAAATAACACTGAGTTACATGCTTATAATTGTTCAGAGAGCTGAGTAATCAACTAAACCTGAAAAGCAAGTATGTTTTGGTGACTGATGCAAACAAGTTATAGTGGTAAAA